AGACAGACAGACAGACAGACAGACAGACAGACAGACAGACCAGACCAGACCAAACTGCATATGGAGGCAGCTCAGCAGAGGGTGTTCTGAGGCAGGAGGAGGCAGAGACAAGCAGAAGGAGGCTCCTACCCTCAGGAACCTGATGTGACTAGAAGAGCTGGGAGCACTGCACAGGGAAGGAGCCCCTGCCTGAGGGCCTATGTGGGAAGGGTAGTGCAAAACGGCCAGTGGAAAGTGACTCAGGACATATGGCCAGGGGTTCTACCCCATCTTGTAGACCTTTTTGGGGTATTAGGGGGAGGGCATCTCTTTAAAGCCTTTGAACAAAATAGTATTTTTCATTTCTTTAAGTTTAATAAAAATGAAGTCTAGGAGCCAGGAATAGAGCTCAGTATCATAGACTGGGCCTCCTCTCTGCACCCTTTCCCTCCTCTGGGAAAAGTACTCTCTCCCTGAGAACACAGCCCCTTGGTGAAGACTTCCCACCCCAAGGCTTCAGTAAGAAGGAGCCCTTGCCTCCCTCGGCCTCCCATCCTCAGAGCTGGCCTATCGCCTCAGCAGCTAAGGGCCATTCCAACCTGCTTTGCCTCCTGGTGTCTCCACACCCACTGGGTCTGTGCAGGAGACAGCAGAGCAGGACATGCTATGGGCTGGAAGGGCAAAGGTTGTCCCCAGGAAAATAGGCTTTGTGCTTGGCACTCCACTGGCTGGGAGCAGGGGGAGCACCCTGTTTTTGGCAGCAGAGGAAAGGTGCACTCAGGCGAACCCTTTGGGGTTGGCCTGGACCCATCAGGTGCCCACTCCCTCTTCTTTTTGCACCAAGCTGGCAGGGCAGCCTAACCTCCATGTTGACCCTCTGGCGATCTAGACCTTGAGTTAGGAAATTCCTGCAACAATGGAACAGACAGTAAATATTTTACCTTTCCTGGGCTGCAGCCTCTGTCTCACTAGCAAACTCTACTGTTGTACTGCCATAGGTGAGACACAACCAGTGTGAATGCGTCCCAGAAAAACTGCTTACAGGGATAGACAGAATTTGACCATGGTGTCAGCTGTGTTTCTCAACTCTGGCTTTGCAGTCACGCTGCCTGAATGACTTGGCAAACTACAGGTTCTGGTTTGGCAGATTTTGGATGGAATGGGCATCCCCAAGGGAACCCAAGGCATTGCCTCACTAAGAATCGCCAAAGGGGCTCTTCTGGGGTGTGAGTGAGGTGTAGCAGTACCCAACCTGAGGCTTACCTGTGTTCCAGGATGGAGGACCAGGATGGTGGCTCCGGCGGCCTCCCCAGGGCCTCTGAAGGTGGAAAGAATACCTGCCGATCTGGGGGGTGGGGGTACGAACAAGTCCAAGGCCCAGCCGCCACCCAAAGGAGAAGGTGCGAGTGGGGTGGAAGAAGGGAAGGCTAGCTGCAAGCAAGAAAACACATGAGGGGCTAGAAGGCCACAGCTGAGACAGCTTCTGCGAGATGGATGTGGCTGATTCTAAGACCCGCAGTGCTGGGGTCTGAGACAGGCTCAGTCACTGTCAGGGGCTGTCCCTCCCTCCTCACCCAGCATGACGAGGAGCTCCCATGGGCCCTAGGGGAGAGGGAGATGCCTCAGCACCTGCGTGTTACACAGATTTCCTCTGAGTCCAGCATGAGCCCCAGCAAGAGCTTGCAGGAGGCTGACCCCATGTGCACTTACTGCCCCTCTGGAGAAGGTAGTCATAGCTGGGCAGTCTCTCCAGGAGTTCAGTGGGGGGCTCCAGAGGGCTCTCAGCCTCAAAACTGAGGTCCCCCACACCTGCAGGAAGACGCAGTCCTGTCATGTGGAGGACTAAGGGAAGTTGAGAAGGGGGCTGGGTGCTTCAGAAAGCCCAGGTTAACAAGCCAGTCTCACCCTGCAGTCCTGGAACACAGAACCCCTCTGCAGGGCAGGAGGCTAGCAGGTTAGCGCACTGAGGAGGCCACTGCGGAGTGGCCCCTGGAGATGGTGGGGCCAGGGCAGAAGAATGGGTCTTGCAGGTGTGTCCTTGGGGCAATCAGTGGTCCTTTGCCCTGTCTGCTCTAGCACTGCTCTGCAGCTCGGCTCTGCTTCCCAGCCACCATGGGTTGAGCAGCCTCCCTCCAGAAGCCAACCATACACTGAAGCCCCTGGAACTGTAAGCTGCAGCGAGTCTCCCCCAACTTAAGTGCCACCACAATAGCTGACGAATGCACCTAACTGCCTTTCTGGTGGCTGAGTCAGTTCCAGGAAATTGACTGTATGGGGTGGGCTGAGAAATGAAAGAGACTCGGGTCAGATGTCCTGTAGTTCTACCCCATCTCATACACCTTTTTTGGGTGTCAGGGAGAGGACTTCTCTTTAAAGCCTGTAAACAAAAATAATATTTTCCATTTCTTTAAGTTTAATAAAAATGAAGTCTAAGGGCCAGGGATAGAGCTCAGTGCCATACTCTGGCAAGTACAAGGTCCTGAGTTTGATCCCCGGTGCAAAAACAAAAACAAAAATGAAGTCTAGAAAAGTGACAAAGAATTATTCCAGCTGAGAGAAACCTAGGCTGATCTGGAAGTCAGGTGTGCAGAATGATGACACCCCTAAAGTGGCTGATAACAGGGAGGGAGCATGTAGCTAAGAATAGCCTCTCTCTACTCTCACTCCAAAGCAGAATGCTCTTGTACCCCCCAACCCCCATCTCTGGGAGTCTTTCTTGCAGGCTGTCTGTGGAGGGAGATGGGTAGAGGAGAGTTAGAGATGAAGACAGTGCCTTTGGAGACAGGGACAGATACGGCTATAATGCAAAGTAAGTCACCGCAAAGCAAACTTTCATGCCGGTGTGTGCTCGTGTCCCTGATCTGAGGATCCATCTGGCCTTATTAGTGAGCCCTTGGTCCTCAGTATTCTTTCGTTTCAAATGAGTTTCTTAACACTCAGAGCTATTTACCAGCCAGGGACTCAGGAGTCAGCAACCACTTGCTGGGAAGAGCCAGCTAAAAAACAGTCCAAATTCTGTGGGCCTTACAGTCTGTCTTCATGACTCGATGAAGAGTCATGAAGAGACCAGCTGCAGCAGGGAGCAGTTGTATGGAATTTGTGAACACCGTGGGGTTAGGCGTGACTCCTCAGCTTTCCTCTGTGTGCTACTGGGTCAGCCATCACCCGTGGAGTGATGCAGGCACTCCCCCGACGGGAAAAGCTGAGGGGCGTCAGGAAGGCCAGGGCTGGCAGGGAGCCTCTCTGGGGTCTGGGCCTCTTGTGTCTGTGTGGCCTCTGTGTGACCTCAGATGCAGTCACAGTCAGAAGCTGGAAGCAGAGTGCTCGCGGGAAAGTGGGTCTGACTTGTGACTCAGCCCAGGCTCTGTCTGTAGACAGATGTGTGCGGAACCGAACTCCTTCAGCTCATAGCGAGGGCTCCCCCCGGTGGCCAGATGGCGTACATGTAAGTGCTCGGAGAGAACCAGGGCCTGAGCACGGTGGGTTTCTCCTTGCACTGTGCTCCCCTAAACCAGGGGACAATGCAAATACCAAGCGTAGGAAAAACAACTAGCACGCCCTCTCCCCAGAGGTGGGCTGGCCCACCGCAGTCTTGAGTCCCTTGATGAGACCACAGGGAAATGCCGTATGCCTTTGGTATCCCCCTGAAAACCAAACCAAAGAGACAGGAAGAGATGAAGAATGAGAGGTGGAAAAGGCAGAGCTCCATCCATCATTTGAGCCCCACCCTGACCTCTGGGGCAGCAACCACATTTCTTCAGAGCTAAATTAATCCTGCCATTATGCTGTGTATAAAAATAAAAGTCCAGAGGCTGACCTGCCGGAGGATGCGTCATTTCCTGTTCAGAACTCAGCCAACACGTCATTGGGCATTGTGGCAGGGCCTCCTGCTGCACCCATTTCTTGGTGAGACAGAGTTTCAGAGCAGTGGGGACACCACACCCTAACACACGTGTCACATTTGTGGCTCACAAGGAATGTGCAGCCCCGTCTTGCATGCATCCCAGCACAGAGAACAGCATAAAGTACAGACCTGTGATGGAGCCAGTGGCTCACACATGCATAGCAGAGAGGAAGAGCACTTAAAACTCAGCTCCTTGGGCTAGGGAGATAGCTCGGTGGTCTAAGTGCCTGCCTCCCAAGCACAAAGTCCTGAGTTCAATCCCCAGTACTGCTGCAGTGCAGGCCATGCCCCTGGGCACACCATGCTTCCCTGAAACCAGGCATTGTGGCCCATACCTGTAATCCCAGCACTGGGGAGGCTGGGACAGGAGGATCACTAAGAGTTCAAATAGCATAGTGAGACCATGGAATAAGCAAATAAAAGATTAAAATAAATATATATATATATATATATATATATATATATGGGCCAGGGAGATAGCTCAGTGGAATAAGCACTTCCCTGGCAAGTGCAAGGGCCTGAGTTCAATCCCTGGTTCCTCAAAATTAATTAATTAATTAATAATTTTTTTTAAATCCCTCAGATCCTTTCCCCAAGCCAAGGGACTTGGCTGCCTAGCTCTAGCCCCTGCATCCCCAGGGCAGCATGCAACAGGGACAGAGATATGAGGTCGGGTGACGGCTGCCAGGGGCCCCCATGAAATTTGAAATGGGGAGCTTTATTAGCCGGGAGAGTTTTCATTTTTCAAGATGAAAAGGTTTCCAGAAATGGAACACACCGAATATGCACACATGGAATTCTGTAGTTACAGAGTGTGATCTGAGTACATGGGGAATGCCTACATTTTTGAAATTATCACAGTAAAAAAAAAAAAAGCCTGTTCATTCCTTCAAAATCCTCCCTTATCCCATTGTTCTTGCTACTTCCTCAGGCAGTTCTGGAATCTTCTTTCCCATCTTTATGAGGTACGACCAGAAAGGTGGTGGATACTGCTGCCAAGGGCAGACTTGCAAGGACACGATGGTGTGTCCTCATCCACCTTACTCACCAGATCCAGTATGGTGTGACTTCGGGGTCTTCCATAACGGAGACATGAGCGTGGAAGTAAACATTTCAAATCAAGTCAGGACATCAAGGCAGTAACAACCCAACAAGTAGAGACACAAAACAAGACTTCCTGAGCTGCTTCAGACAGTGGCAGGAATGACAGAAGTATGTTTGAAGTGAAGGGAAGGATTTTGAGGGGGATTAATGACAATGTGTCTTTTATGGTAATAATATTTTTAAAAAAGTTAAACATTCACTTTATTTTTTTGTTTGGACTTCATTAAAAAGGAAGACCGAAAACCTCACTGTCACCTTCTCACCTGGACCTGGGGTGCCCACTGCTCCCCGCAGCTCCATCTGAGCTCGTGACCTCAGCAGATGCGGGAACTGGGTGCCGCCCTGTGGATGTCATCTGCACATGGGCAGGGAATGACTTCCTGTGTTTTCCAGACGGGGATGAGAGCATAAAGACAGTGGGCCTTGGGAGGGGAGGTTGTGGGAATGGAACTGAGTGGGGAGTGTGAGCAAAGGCCTGGAGAAGGCAGGTGTGAGCGCTCTGGGGTGGGTGCAAAGCTTGCTGTGTGAGGACACCAACATCACAAGAAATGGGCAGCTGAGCTCAGTAGCACACACCTGCAACCCCAGCAATTAGGGAGGCTGAGGCAGGAGGATCACAAGCTTGAGTCCAGCCTGCGTAATTTAAGTACTTAGCAAGATCCTGTTTCAAAATAAAATAAAAAGGACTGGGGATATGGCTCAGTGTGAAGATTCTGGATTCAGTCCTCATTACAGGGGGCGTGGGGGCAGGAAGAAGTGGGAGATGGAGGCAGGGCAAGGTCTGGGAGAAAGTTTTGTTTAGTGAGCTCCACAGGCCCTTTGTGTCCCAAAAGAGAACACAGCAAACATTGTACTTTTGTTTTCAATTACTTGGGGCTGTGGTTTGCAACTGGTTTGAAACACTGAGGATGATGATTTACAGCTGTTCAATTATTTGGGCTGCGAAACTCATCAATTGGAGAAAGCTCCATCATGCCAAGACTGGGCCATGTGGGGGCTGGGCCATCTAAGGCCTGCGCGGGCGCGCACGCACACACGCGTGCACGCACACACGCGCGCGCACACACACACACACACACACACACACACACACACACACACACACCCTCTTTCCTGACCTGGCTCTGTACCCTGTCAGCCTGATTCAGCCCAGACCTGCCACCTCCATCTGCCCTTCTCCATACCGTCATAGTGTATTCCACTCTGTTGCCCCTTTGCTAGGTAACATTCCTTAAGAATGCCTCACAAATGCCCACTGGGGTGCAGCCCCCACTGATACAGTACCCTGGAGGTTTTGTTCACCCTGGCTTTCAGTTGCAAGCTCAGCACAAATCCCCAGCATAGACTCAGGTGGCTGGGAGTTCACCTAATGTTTTAGGGCCTCCCTTTCTGTTCCCTACAAATAGAACAGGAGTTCAGCTGTGGAAAGAAACAAATGGGACATAGATCAGGGAGGGTGTTGGAGCCAGCTCAGGAGATCCCCCATTTTTCGCTGAGCTGGCCTGGATTTCCTAAGAGCTGCTGGTGTTCTGCAGCTCCCCAGAGCAGGAGCTGCCTCTTGCTGTGAAATTATAGGGCCCACCACTTCCTTCAGGAAGGTAGCAGCCTGGAGAAAGCACCAGAGGGCCTAGGGCCCAGGGCTGCCCAACGGACAAGACCTGGACATTGACGTGGCACCTGCACCCTGAGGGTGTGTGTGACAAGGAAGCCAGGACAGGAAGCCCCTCGTCTTTCCACCATGATGCCATGAGAACTTCCAAGTTGGTGTCATATCATCAATCCAAGGTTGGGGGAGGTGAGGGCACTTAGGTAAGCCTTTTGGGGACAAAGCAGACCCAGGTGCCAAGCAGGGGTCCCCTATGCCCAGCACTGTAACACTTGGGGTGATGGCAGTGTGGCATCAGTCAGCATTCTCACCCATGAATTTGGCTCTGCTCTAATTCCACTGGCTCCAAAGCCCAGATCCTAGACCCCTCCAAAGATTGCAGGGACTGGAGTTACAGCCCATCTTACTTAGATATCCTCTTGCTTATCATATTTGGGAAGCTTTCAATCTACAATAAATTAAATTACAAAAGATGTATTGTAAAAAAATAATAAATAATATAAAAAGATGTGTTGTACAGAAAAACAGGGATTTCCCCCCTTTGCTCTGCTCTGGAGCAGTGCACTCTAGGATAAGAGTAGGCAGCCGGCCTACAGCCCAGGCTGTTAAGAAGCAGGATCTGCTGGAGCCGAACAAGACCCCTAAGGCTATAAACAAGGAGTAGCCTTGGTTCCTAGACTCAAGGCCAAAGTGTGCATGCTCCAGGGAGGGATTCGTCACCTTGGGTTTTTGTTGTTATTGTTGTTGGTTTTTTTTACCTTTTCATTTATTTGGTACAGGGTCTCTCTAAATAGCTGGGACTCATAGTGATCCTCCTGTCTCAGCCTCTCCAGTGCTGAGATTACAGGCGTGCACCACCACATCCAGTCTCAATGGCCAGCCTGGCGCACCCTAGGTTCCAGGTGCGGGGTGGCATATGGTGCTGGAGATCGAACCTGGGTCCTTGAGCTTAAAAATCAGATGCTTAGACACCCAAGCTATCTCCCCAGCCTCTGTCATCTCAGTTTAACACAGCCTCACCCCTAGCTGAGCCACACCTGTCATTAGAAGGGTGCCAGCCATGCTCAGAGAAGCCCCTGGGCAGGGCACAGCAGAGACATCCCAGCACCTGCCACGGTGCCCAGTGACCTTTGTGGTGATCTCTACCTAGTGCCATGACCAGCATGTCCCTAGCTAGGCCAGCTTCTGAGGAAGGTTTTCTCGCTCTGAAGTTACTGGCAGTATAGACACTAAACCTCAGAGGAAATGACTTTAGTGGCTGGAAAGTGGTCTCCCTCAGATGAGGTGGCTGGCCACAGCCCAGCTGGAGGTGCACTTTATATTATCTGAGTTCTGCAGTGGGCTCCCTTCCTCACCCTGGAGGAGAGGAGCCCCACTTCTGGCCCACCCACTGGTTGTGAGCCCTTTGCCAATGGACTCCACCTGCAGGGTGCTCTGCCTGCTGAGCTGAGTACCACCACGAGGGCGCCCAGCACACACCGGGCCCTACCTCATAACCAGGGCTTTTAGAAGCGTGAGGGAATTGAAGCATTCATCTTGTTCTCAGCTAGTTTATTTTTTCTTTAAAAAAAAAAAAAAAAAAGCACAAGATTGATACATAAACCTCACAGGTGATAGCATTTTCCTATAATAGCAGTTTACTTTTTGTTTTGTTTTTTAAGACAAGGTCTCACTACATACCTCAGGATGGCCTGGACCTCACAGCACTTCCCCTGCTTTGGCCTCCCATGTGCTGGGATTACAAGTGTGCATCCCATGCCTGGCTCAGTTTACTTTTTTAAGGGGCTGGGGACATAATCTGATCACATTAGATTCTCCTCAAATACTTAGTGAAATACCTCCACACTGTCTCCTACTTCAATGTGAAAAAAGAACCCAGCAAATTTAGAGTGGGTTTGTTCCAAGGTTAATATAGGTGAACTTTGTATTCTACTTCAGTTCTAAAGCCTGAAGCTCTACAACACCAACAGTACAGGCCGCACAGAACACTGCAGCTGCAGAGGCCCCTGGAGCTTGCTGAGTGTGGGGATGCTCAGATGAATGCTGTAGGCCCTCCACAGCGCCCCAAAGCATATATGTGACACTTTGCCCACATCCTCCCTATCCTCAGACTAACAGTCTCTGACCCAAGGTCTTTCTATAGATGGGGAATTGAGTCTATAAAGTGGGGTGACTTGCCCAAGACTGAGCAGTCAACTTGAAGCAGAATCACAACTGGAACCCCAGTTTCCCAACTTCTGGTCTGAGGGTCTTTTCTCCCACCCCACAGCCCCTTCCAAATTCAGGACCCAAAGTTTCCTCTTTTCAGGCACGGCATAGTTCTTCCTAAAGTACGATTTCCTTCCTTATGTTTTTAAGCGCTCCTCGGATTCCATTGTATTTCTGTCCTCAACACAGGAAGGGGTCGTCCAGGCTGTTCTCACTAGCAACAGCAAACGAGCAGATTTGTTGCTAAAGCCAGAAAGTGACCGAAGAAAGAATCCTGCTGTTCACACTTACACTAGGCTGGGAGGGGACTATTACCCAGAAGGTCAGTGGCACAGCCATTAGGAAGAAGGAGCACATCTTAGCTTTGCCTGGGCTTCTCTTCACGGGGGAAGAGGCTGCAGACTGCAAATCAGATTTACCTGAGAGAGAAAGGCAGGAGGAGGACTCGAGGTGCCTCAGGAGCTCAGACTACACAGCTGTGGGGCTAAGCTAGCTTTCTCATATACTACCTACAAGGGCCCCACACAGCCCTGAGGTGCTACTTACTGTCCTCTTCCTTCGGGTCCCTGTCCATGGTCCAGAGGTCCAGCGAGGAAGTGCTGCTGTGTTCCCAAGCACTGGCTGCAAGGATCTGAGGACCATACTCAGCCCTCCTATGAAGCCTATTGTTATGAGATCTGCATACAACAGAGGCCAAGCCACCAATCCCACCCCTGTCCCCACCCCGTTCCCATCCCAGGAGCTGGAGCTCCTCCTCTCAAGAGCCTCCCTCAGGCCAAGCTCTTGTGGATGCTGCTGGTTGCCTGGGTCCTCACTACAGTTCTGTGAGGGCCACATGTGTCCTGTCCATTTTGCAGAGCTGAGATTCAAAAAATCCTTGTCCTCTGTCAAATTGGAGAGTTAAGTGGCACTTCTGTGAGAGGTAGGCTTTACATCATAGTGGGGTGCCCAGACGAGCTTATAGCTACAGGGAGGTGACTCCTCCAGTGGGCAGAGAAGGTGCAGGCACTCAGACTGAAGTCTCGGGTGTCAACTTCTTTGTCACCTCAGCATCTGGCACTGGGAGGAGATGCTTCAAAGCCACATGACCCATCATTGCCAAAGCTAGCCCCCAAGGCAGGATGCATGGGCTGCCATGGTAGCCATGCTGACCAGGTCTGTGAGTTTGGGGGAGATGCTAAGGACAGATCCCAAGAATGCTCTACCACAGAGCTGCCATCCAGCCTGCCTGTGGGAGCTTCAAAGGCCTTTTCTGAGCCCTTTGAATTCTGACCCTTGGAAGGCCCTCCCTCACCTCTGGAGAAGTCTACTAAACAGTGACCACCTTTTTTTTCTTCTTCCAGTTCCAGGCGCTATCAGCTACAGTTTACAGAGCCGTTATGGCCAAGTCCAAGAACCACACCATGCACAACCAGTCCCGAAAATGGCACAGAAATGGCATCAAGAAATCTTGGTCACAAAAATACAAATCTCTGAGGGGGGTAGTTCCTAAGTTCCTTAGGAACATGCATTTTGCCAAGGAGGGCTTTAAGAAGATGCAAACAAACAATGCCAAGGCCATGAGTGCACATGCCAAAGCCATCAAGGGCCTTGTCAAGCCCAAGATCATTCCAAAGGGAGTAAACCATAGGCTCGCTCAACTTGCCTGTATTGCCCACCCCAAGCTTGGGAAGCTTATTGTGCCCACATTGCCAAGGGTCACAGGCCTTGCCGGCCAAAGGCCCAGGTTCCTGCTGAGGCCCAGTCTCCAGCTTCTGCTCCAGCCAAGGCCCAGGCCCTAGCTTCTGCCCCAGCCCAGGCCCCCAAAAGTGCCCAGGTCCCCATGAAGGCTCCACAGTAAAAGCCTCTTATCTGCTGATGTAAAAACAGAAGGACTGGTATGATCCCTGGGGTCTGTGAGGGTCTGTTGGCAGCTGCTGTCCTCCTGTGCTCTTTGTACACATAAACCTGAAGCAGGAAAAAAAAAAAAAAACAGTTACCTTCAGGGCTGCACTCTGACAGTGGAGTGCTCATCTTGCTTAGGCACTGTATGGGAATGCTGCAGGTAATGGTGTGTTTGAGTGACAAAGGACAGGTCATGGACCCATTGCCACCTTGCATGCATGGTATCAGAAGGACCTAGCTTCACCAATCATAAGAGCCACGTTAGAATGAGACTAATCCTGCCTCTACCTCCTGTTAGTATCAAGGATGAGGATCCCTTGCATCACATCCAGGTCTGTCTTTCATTCCACACCTTGCTGTTGGCAGAACAGGGTAGGCACACTGAGGCTCTCTGACTGGAGCTGGTCCTCCATGGTCCATGGCTGAGGCAGTTGGCCCTTCTGCCCTGGTGCATATAAGTGCTCATGAAGCATCTGCTGAACTAACACAGCTGTCCAACAGCTGCCTGTGTCTACTGATTGCTATCTCAGAGTCTGCATGTTCTTGGAATAAAGTCTATGTATTGGCATAAACTTGATCTTCTGATCTTATGGTATATCATGGATGCAGGAGTTGTTAGGATGGGGTAGAATGGAAAATTGGGTTCCAGACAACACACAAATGTTTGTCACTTCATGAAGCAATGGGAAAGACACCCGAGAAAGGCTCCACAATGGTCTCCTGCTAGTATGGAAAGGGAGATAAGGGAGGAGGTGGCAGAATGCTATCTCATTCTACTGACAGCCGTGCAGGTGGGGACCCTGTCAAGGTAACACAGAAGGCTGTCCTGGGAGCAGAGCTCCTGCCATTGGATGATGAGTTAGAGACATCCAAGCAACAGCTGGATGATACGACTGAGTGAACTGTGGCAAAACAGAGGGCTGTGATATCAGACTGGATAAACGAGGTCCAGAGCTGCAAAGTGCACATCCTGCTGGGCTATGGGACAAGTTTCTGGTGTGAGAACCCCCCACAGGAGCTGCAGGGATCATTGCCTTTGTCTCTGAGGAGCAAGGTCTGCTCAGCTGTCACTCAAGTCACCCTACCCCAAACATCAGCCTCTGCTTGCCTCTTTCCTGGGATTAAAGCTGATGCCTGGTGGGCTTTACAGTTTTTTCTCTCATCTGAGGTGGGCTTGTGTCCATCCCCAGCTTCCTGTGTAATTCATTCATGCTGGCCTTGGGCTCTGGATCCTGTCAGTGAGAGAGTCAGTCCGTGAGGTCTGTCAGTCATACAGATTCCCAATTGCCTCCTTTGAAGAACTGACTGGGTGTGTTGAAGGCAGAGCTCTGAATTCTGGGTTTTTATTAATAAGTCCTCCAGGTGATTCCAACTCAGGAAGCCTACGCTTTAAAGCAAGGGCTGGGGAAAAAGCTTAGCGACATGGCTGCTGTCTGGCAAGCATAAGGTCCTGAGTTCAATCAGCAGTGTTGAGGAGAAAAAAAGAAAGAAAAGAAACCAATATAGCACAACGTGGCTGTCTAACCTCTTTTTTATATATGGTTTTAGGTACTGAGGAATGAACCCAGAGCCTTTGCACTGAGCTACATCCCCAGCCCTTTTTATTTTTTGAGATAAGGTCTTGCCAAGTTGCCTAAACAGCGCTCAAACTTGCCCTCCTCTTGCATCAGGATCTCGGAATGCAGGTATTACTGACGTGTGCCACCATGCCCAATTTAACTTCTTATTTATTAAAAGAGTCTTCTCAAGGTGGAACAAGTAGAAGTTTGGTGAGGTTACCCCTGCACTACTGTGGATTCCTTCCCTCTTGAAGGAACCCTTGGGTTCAGATGAGGATTTACAACACCGTGTGGAACTGTTAAATGGGGTCCTTTACCAGCACACCAGCTCTCTTTCCCTTCTCTTCCAATGGGGTACTAGTGCTAGCAACAATGATGAGAATAGGAGAAGCATTTTACAATAACACACAAAAAATTTTTCTATTGTATTGAATCAGTCAGAGCCAAGAGAAACAATGAGAAGACCAAATTATTACAGCTACAGAGGACTCGGAGCTTAGCCTCACACTCAGTGAGTCTCAAACCACCACCGAGCCACTGAAACTTCTCACATTTATTGAGGGCTAAAAGCAGGCTAAGGATTGTGCGTAATTAATTGTGTGAAAACAAACTGCTGCGTACATTGCCTTCCAACATTCCCCAAACTAAGTTCACACCTCATTAGATAAAGGATCAAAGAACAGACAGGGCACCTCCAGGAATTGCTGCAATCTGTGACGTTGTTTGCATCCAACTTGCCAGAATAACAAGGTCTCCTTAGGCTCTGTTCTTTGTTCTTTGCTCCCTGGGGACAGCAGGATTCTGGCTCATATTACTACACATTTCCCAAAATGTTAGCTCAGTTGGTGACAGCTTCCATTTGAAAGTTTTAGGACATTCAAGCAAAAACACATCTACTTACCCTGTCTCTCTTTTGGGCCCAGGGAACCACCCTGACCATCTGATAAACTGGAAGCATCAATAATTCACCAGCATTTTCAGTTACTCAGGTCTTAGCCATTGGGTCTATCTGTAAGTGGGAAGGAAGGCCCAGTTCGATCTCCAGGAGTGGACATGGCTATACAATCACAGACATCCCCCATTTAATGACCTGCCTGATTAGTAACTATTCAGACTTACAACTGAGGTGTACCGTTTGAACTTTTTTTCCAGCTTGGAAATAGATACTTTATTAACTAACCAAATCATAAAAGCACCATGGTAGATACCTTAGTTCATCCTTCTAATAAGCCTGTTTTCTGGTCTTCCCTATTTCCAGCGTCTCCACCTTCCACAAAATGGGTGGTCTTTATTTTCATTCCACCTTGTGCAGATGATAACTTGAAATGGGTTTTCATTTTTTTTTTCTTTTCTTTTCTTTTTTTTTTTTTTTTTGCAGAGCTGGGGATTGAACTCAGGCCTTGCGCTTGCCAGGGAAGTGCTTATTTTACTGAGCCATCTTCCTGGCCCAGCCCAGATGATAACTTGAAAGGCCACAGGAAGTTATTGCCTCTTTGAAGTGTTTCCTACAGTATAGACCTCAGGAGTCAGATCCTCCATGCAGATGATACCGTATTTACCAAGAGATCGCGCAATCAATGAGTTCTCTGTCAAGGCAGTTCGCTTCTTACTGATTTTGTTGGAATATTACTGATTTTTGCTTGTACATTAGTTCATTCACTGACTTCAGATCTGGGTACTCCACGCAATGTATGGCTCCACAATTCTCAGCATGTTAACTGAAGCTTTGTTGAGTTTAACAAATGTGCCATTGATGATTTGGTGAAGGCGAAGAAGCTGCAACACCTTGCGGGCCTTTGGGCTCATACCACTGATGCCCCTGATCCGGATGACAAATGCCAGTTTGGGCTCTGCAGGGACAGAGAAGTTGTCAGCTTTTCTCGCCATCCTAGCCATTCGGGTCTCAGCTCTGCACATCCGTCTGTACTCCTTAGGATAGTGCCTGGCTTTTCCATAGATGAGCTTCCTCCTCACCTTGAGGAATTGTCTTCTGGGCAAACTTCTTTCTCAGGAGCTTTATCTTCAGCTCTGTGAAATATCTTCACTTTTTCTTAAGGGTTTCTGGCACAGCCGGAACCTTCTTTTTCTTCTCTTTTATACCCTCCATGGTTCCAGCCAGAAAAGAGAGAACTATTTGAACTTATGACCTGCTGCTTAGACTCACAATTCATCCATTGGG